TCTATAATCAGGCTGATAACGCCTTGGGATGTTTGAGGGGAACCCCCCCTCCATTTTGGGAGAGCTCTGACCCCCTTTATTCATACGGCCTGTACGATTTTCAGGTTTGGTGTTGATGTCGAGGGGGGCTGTGACCAACAGCAAGTTTTGAGCTGTTCAAGAAGGGGGGGGTTGCTTGGGGACCCAACGACTATATGGGGGGGAATATGGAGATTATACAGAACGTGAAGAAAGTCACATTTGACAGGTATCTTCCTTAAAGGCCAGGCACAGCCCTTCTACCCTGCATCCGTCGCTCTAGGGGAAAGCTGGCTAAGCCCCTTAAACCCTAAAATCCTGACCAGAAAACCATAAGCAAAATTTAAACCTCAGGAGCCTGAAATAACAAAGGGCTCGAATCCCTACCAGCCAATGTCCTGGACATCCAGGCCTGTAAAGACCACTAAATTCACTAAGTGTGTTTGGACCCTAGTTATGCTGACTGAGATTTTGGATGAAGGAAATCTTGCACCACTTACCTCAAAATGCTGTAGTTTCAACCCATCCACACAATGAAGGAAGAACTCCGCTAACATCGATGCCGCTCCCAAGGCTGACGCCGGGGCTGCGTTCCACAACGTTTAGAGGGTTTAGGGTTTAGGGTTTACATGGGGGTATATCCGCGGCGTATAAGGATGTATAAGGATAGTACCCCCAATAGTGAATACTCAAATGGAAAAGAAAAATGGAAAATGAAAAAGCTGGGTTGGTGCAGAGGTTTCAGAGGCATGTAACCATATTCGGGTTCCCCTGTTTATGGAAACTAAGTAACTACCACATAGGAAATAATGTATTTTGTGGTTGCCAGTTTCCCTTCCCTAATTTACAGGAACTAGTATTTTACTGGGGGGTGGGTTATGTATAGCTACCACATTATTGCGGTTTGTACATTCGAGACACTGGAATGTTGAGTGTCGTCGCTGCTCCTATATAACCCCCCTACGCTGCCTCGTCCTCCTCCTCCTGCTAAAGTGGATGGTGGGTGGTAGTGGTGGCAGTGATGGCAGTTGCTGTGTCAGTTCGCTGGTGGGTTAGCTACTTGGTTCGTTCGCTGAGTTCTCGGCTAGCTCGTCAGTTGGTTCGCTAGCTAACCCAGACCCTGATTAATAAACCCACGCCCCTGAATAATAACTAGGGATTATAATGCGTTTTTTAAACATGGGCCTACATTAGTACACTTCGTTAGTCGGTTGGTTGATCCCTTGGCAAGCTGGCAAGCTAGCCACTTTGTTCCCAGATCGATCACTTATTCAATCAGCAGAGGCAGCCGCAATGACACTCAGAAAAAGAAGAACACGACTACTGCCACTACTTCTTCTTCCAAGCACCCATGCTCTCAAACTAACAAGCATGATCGTAAACCAGCAAGATCCATGATAATCCTTAACATGCTTTGCAGACAACCAAACCCTAAACCCTAAACCCTTCTTGACGAGGCACCAGGAGGACCACAAAGCCGAGACTCATGGCCATGCGGGGCACCGACTCTATTTCACCGTATGATAGTCCAATGGCCATAGGGGGGTCTGTATAACCCCTATTTCACCCCCTGATTATGGGAACCCTAACCCCTAAACGCTGAATAGTAGTTTCCATTTTATTTTCCATCATCCAAATATAACCTGAGCTTTCCACAAGAAGCCTGAGCTCGCTTCTTCTAACACCGTCAGCAGTCAGGGAGAGCCCCACACAGAGCTAGAGGAAAGTTCGCTTGCTGAAGTCTGCTAGGATTGCGAGCTTCGGCCTCAAACCCATGGTGTAAGGGTATGCCATGATTGGGAGAGTTTGGCTCCTGATTCACAACTTCGGGTGAGGATCCCTGGTCTCGTGAAATTTGAGAGGCCTGGCTTGTGGCTGCAGCTTCTTTCTGTGGGCCTGTGTGTTGCGCCTGGACCAAAACCGCGACCGACACGGGAGCACGGCTGATGTGACTCAGAACATGCTATGCGCCCCTCACTGACGAACACGCCATTCATATTCGTTCGCAAAGAATACAGCCGTTTCCATTTTTCCGATCCTTAACATACAGGGACTGCTGTTATCTTGTTTGCACTTCGCCCTGTCAAAGGATTTTTTTCAGTAGTTCCTTGGGATCATGTCGCAACAAAAAGTAAATACAAAGTGAAAGGGATTGGAGTTCTATTGGGGAGAGATATACATATATATATAAATTATACATGTATATTTGAATACGTATATGCAAAGGGTTACAACCATGGGCCCCTAGTATGGGCTCTTAACCTAGGATCCCTTTACTATGTACCCTATTTGTACCCTTAATTAAGCGGCGTCGCCTAAAAGGCCCGACGGCCCATATTCGGAGCCCATACATCTACACTAAACCGTAAGCCTTTTTGAGCAAAGGACTTTATGACGGCCGGCAGCCAGGAACAACTCCCTTTGACCCTAAACCCTAAACCCTAAACCCTAAACCCCTAAACCCTAAATATAGTATAAGGGCTGGCATCCTGCGTTTTGAGAGTTCGCCTGGGCTGGAGCAAAATCAAAAAGCCTACCATAAAACCAGGAATCACAATGCCTCAAGCCGCGCTTCGGGTCCAGGGTGTAGGGTTTAGGTTGGGTACTGCCCACGCTCAGTAACAGTCGGATAATTTTGATAATATGGTTATATATAGCCCTTAATAGGACCCCTAATATAGACTGTCACTGGATGGGGGCAGGACCCAAGGTTTAGGGTTTAGGGTTGCGAGTTCAAGGTTTAGGGTTAAGGGGTGTTGCCCTGCAACAGCTCCAACAGCTCGGCTGTTCGGACTACTAAATACCCATAATGAATACAATCTATGAGAGAAAGGGAAGAACAACAATAATAACAGTAACAATAGACCCTAAGCTCTGAACCCAAACCCTAAACCTGAAACAGACCTCCATAGAGACTGCTGTGTGACTTTGAATGGGGAGGGCCCTGGGTGCAGGGCGGCGAAGGACTGCTCCCCGCTTCGCCCGAAACTCAAGCGCCCCCTGACCCTCTCTCTTACATAACTTACTGGGGGTTAGTAGGGAATAAGGGAATATATTATATAGGTGTTATATAGGAGAAACAACTTCAAGACCTGACTCCAAAAATCATCCTCCTTTTTCTGCTTCGAAGCGTGCTGGGGCGATCAGAAGAAGGCACAGAACGTGACTTTGTCAGCTAAAGTCTAAACCCCTAGTATCCCGCTTCCTAGACCCCTATAATAGTCCACTTTATAATTCTATATATGGCCCCCCTTAACGGAGTGTAGACCCTAAGCGCTAAACCCTATTTACTCCCCTTTAAGGAGTTTAGACCCTAGATCCTAAACTTCACAGCCCTCTATGATCCTCCTCTAAGGACTTTAGACTATAGCTCATGACAGAATGTTCGGGGATCTCCGGGGATTGCGCGGCAAGAGTCTTTGGCTAGGGCTTGGGTATCCTTTCTTTGGAGCACTTTGGAGGGTCCAATATGGAGTCCAGGGGTACTCCCTGATGCTGATATGAGGTTTAGGGCCTAGGGTCAATGAGACTTAGTAACTAGAACCCTAAACCCTAAACCCTAAACCCTTACTAAGGGGGATAACTAGGTAATCCTGTATGGTTTTGGGGGGTTTCAACCCTTACCAGGTCCCCCTGAGCCAAAGTCTAAACTCCTAGCATCCCCCTTAAGAACCCCCTATACTAGTCCCCTAAAGCATGCCCCTTTAAGGAGTTTAGACCCTAAATCCAAAACCTTACATAATCCCCCTTCAAGGAGTTTAGACCCTAAACCCCGTATAATCCCCCGTTAAGACTGAGTAGAACCACACAAGATGGGGCTCTTGGGCGACAATCCCTTATGACAGTGGTCCTTGGACCCCTCAAAGGTGCAGATCCCAAGGTAGCCATAGCAACAAACATATTATGGTATAATGTAGTATATTATTAGGGTAGATTATGACGTATCATAGTATATCATAATAGCTTCTGGTATACTATGGGTTATTATAATACTTTATGGTAGGTCATGGTATATTGTGATAGTTTATGGTATATTATAGTCGATTATAATAGGGTGCAGGTTCAAATCAAACACTTGGCATACTACTGCAACTCCCGCGGTTTCATGATGGTTGCGGCCGCTTTTACTGCTGCCAAATGCCACAGCTACGATTGTGATGACGGCTGATCTTGCTGCTGTCATCTTCTATATTGCGAAAATGTGTGTTGGTCATGTCTCATGCATTGATACAGTATCTGAGTCAAGCATGCGCTGCGAGATGTCAGGCGACGCCGTGGAAGATAATGGGACCCTCAGCCAGACAAGTCACCCATGACTTCTAGCTTGTAGCCGTGCACGCACTAGGACTGCCGCCAAACCAGAAAAAGCGCAGGAGACTCAACATCTGATATGCGGAGATCTTTGCAAAGCATGCATGGCCGCCAAATTCACTGCTGCCTCAGTAGCTGTCAAAACAACGAGTGCTGCATGAGCTTACAGCACGTGGAATTTCCCTTGCTGAGCTCTACGCTCCTGACATGTTTTCTTCTCTCGGGGTCGGGCCTCTACCTGAAGCACCTCTTTTGCACCATGCATTGCGGGGATTTGGGGTTCGCAGTTACTGCCATCCATGTGTCCCCTTCATGAAGCTTCGCTACTAACACTGGTTGGTCACGACCCAAACCCTAAGCCCACACATGATCACTAGCCTGGCTCCTGCTTCACTCTATGTGGCCCTGACTAGCGTCCATCTTCTTTTCCTGTCTGAGGGTTGGAGTCCTTGTAGAGCTTGTAGAACGTTTAGAGAGCTTTTAGAACGATCTTACACTGCTTGGGGGTCTACGCTGAGCATGGAGGCTTTTAACGGGCAGTTTCCAAACATGTTGGGCAGACTGAAGTCCTGATGCTGAGGGCATGCCCTCTGAGGCATATCAGTCGTCGAACATGAATCCACTCTCTGGAGATCCACACATCCCTACCTCAGCTCTGCACCGAAGGTGTGTCAGGCCTCAGCAGCAAACAACTTCTGACACTTTGCTTCTTCAAAATGGCTTGAAGGGGCCAGATCTTGCAGGACTCTGCAATCTCTGGCAGAGTGAAGCTCAGACTCAGGTATACGCTGGGCGAGGCTGCACAGCACAGCTGCTATAAAGTTTAAACATAAACCCGTCAAGACTCTTCACCTAGAGCAAATGAAAGAGGACCTCAGGGCGCACTGGCTCCATGCTCATCCATGCTCCAACTTTGTGTGCTTTTTTTGTATCCCGCAGCAGGCGCGAAATCGTCCCCTACTTTGGGCTCAGCGCCAGTCAGCAACTCAACCACCTGCCAGCGGGGAGCTTTCTGAACATGATGGGCCCTTTTTCTGAGGTCATACGAGCTTTAGTCTAAATTCCTAGTATCCCCCTCCATAGCCCCTACAATAGTCCCCTATATAATCCCATAAAAATCCCCCATGTTTGGATTGTCATTGAAATCATAACCGTAAAGCCTCAACCCCTAAAACCTTCTGCAACAGGCTCCACGCACCGCATGGCCTGAGGTCCACATCCAAACATGAAGCCTAAACCCCAAACCCCAGTCAGCTCAAGGTTTAGGCTCGTCAAGATGATGGGTCTTCTTGGGGGATAGGGTTTAGAGCTTAGGGGGACAAATCTTACACCACTTAAGATCACAACAACAACCAGAACTCTTAGGTAATGGGGTGTACGTAAGGTGGTGCGGCCCGGCTTCAAACACATGGTAGCCTTGTGGTCTTGGCTTTCGGAGGCCGCAGACACAAGGTAGATCGTCAAAATTATGGTCTCAGAGATGTCGGGGGCCATACTATGATGGGGACACAACAAGAATTCATAGAAAACCTACCAAACATTAATCTTACGGATCGGGGTTTCAAAAAATTACGGCCGATTTCAGGGGCGAGTATGTTGAGGATGGTACAGTGGACCCTGAGGAGCTTGCTTCCGAAAGAATCTGGGGGATTCCTCACATCGGGGGCCCCCAATGCAAGATACAGAATAAAAGGCTATAGCCCTTGTTCATAGGAACCCCCAAGGGCACCCCAATATGAATTACGATCATACTTCTCATGCCTTCTCATGCTACAGCAGCAAATGAGACTGCCACGAATAGGTCCGACAGCACGATATCGTACGAGCACACCAGAAGAAACCCCGAACACCTACAAGATAGATGTGCCACTGACTCGCATACAGATGGGGTGGCTTGCGAACCTTCGGGGCGCGCATCGCCCATGGGGAGATGCTGTTGGCAACCCCCCTGCCCTCGGACAAACATTTTAGTTTGATCCCTTAAACCCTGAACCCTAAACCCCCTAAACCCTAAACCTCTTAAACCCTAAATCCTAAAGCCTAAACCCCTTGAACCCCAAATCCTAAACCCTCATCCAGGACTCTTGAGGGAGCCAGGCTTGCGTCTATGATCCTAGACTCGAACCCGTTAACTAGAATTCCACAGTTTAGAGACGCGCATGGCACAGCAGTGCAGGCACGGCAACAGTTTAAGGCATAGGGCTTAGGGTTTAGGACTTCGGACTGCAGAGAAGCCAACATTGAACGGCCTCCTCACAAGTTCCAGGGGCCAAATGCTCAGCAGCCGCCACCGCCTTGCATGCATTGAGAGCTAGGATTATTCGGTCAAACTAAGTCAAAGGTCTACGGCTCAGGGACGGAGCGTGAACAAATAGTCAAACTGGGTCGAGGCTTTGTGGGCTCAGACTCTTGAATGGTTTGACTCGAACATCTGACAAGCATGTTACGACATACGGTCCTATCGCGGGGCGACTAGTCAGGGCATGTAAGGTTGCCATGATCATATGGGGGTTGGGGAATCTAGGCAAGCATACTACGAAACACAACTGCCATCCCAGGAGGTAACTTGAAAATTTGATCACCGGCTTCAAAACTGAGTGTTTCCTACCTCTGACTACAACCTTGACTAAACATCATGTTCCCAACTATGCAACAGTTGGAGAAGCTGGAGTGGGTGGGGGGTGATTTGGACTCCAGCGGTCTATGGCGATAACAGTCAATTTTCTTGGGCATGATTTCTCTGCTGCAACTTATGCCTGGCAGCTAGACTCCTTGCAACTTGGATGCTGGGCAGGATCCTTTAGAGTAGCCTGAGTCAACTGGAAGCCCGGCGACCAACCCATCAATCAAGAGTAGAGCGTTTACAGCACTGAAACGTCGACAAGGTGTTGCGCCGAGGCATCGTCCAATTAAGGAACTGTGCGTGGCAGTGGCACCACTTCCAGACGCCACGCTGTGAACCCCGTCCAGCGCTCTCCGGGGCAGCCGCGTGGCGTGAGCTACTAATGTAGACCCGTGATTAATAAACCCCCTCCCGTTAATAGGGTAATAGGGATCCTATTTTGAGGCCCTTAAAAGGAGGGGCTTGTTAATCACGGGTCTACATTAGCCTCGAAACTCACCCTACGCCCTACACCCTGAATCCTACGCCCTTGGACCTTCGTCCAGGGAATTACAATAACTGTACTTTGCATCCAGCTCCAAACCCCCCCAGCCCCGTAAATTGTGATAATTTGGATATAAAGTTACAACTGCCCTGCACCTCCAAGTAGCATAGTAGGGGACTTGTGGGGCTTAGAATCGGCTTATAAGTACAATTATAATCGCCCGATCCTTACTTGGAGGGTCAGAGGGACCTATTAAGTAGGTTAATAGCCCCTATAACCCATAATGTAGTCACCCTAGTTTATCCCATTTATCAACCTACTTACTAAATCGTCCTGACTCCCCAGGTAAGTAGCCCTGAAATCTCCACGCCTTTGTTCCATCATCAAGCTGCGGAACCCTGGTGCCCTTGGAGGCGCCAGACACCTCCAGGGATGCAACATGGCAATAAGGGTTTAGGGGTTAGGGGTTTAGGGTTTAGGGGTTTAGGGTTTCTCAAAATTAGGGTACCCTTATGGGGGTCCATATAATAAGGACTATAGTATTTTGGGGTACCCCCCCCCCAGAGGTACACCCCCCAGATTTAGAACCCTAGTAGGCCTCATTAAGCCCTATATAGTCCCTATTAGCTGCTTAAACCCTAGGGGGGTACCTTTTGGGGGGGGTACTATCGCAACTTCTTACTTGGTAAGGGGATTTTACTTCCCCAAGTCATTATCATTATTATTGCTACCATGGCTGCAATTGTACTGTTGTTACTCGCATCGCCATTCTTGCTATTATTACTATTACTACTGTTACTATGGTTACAATTGTTACTATTACTACTACTACTACGCTTACTATGACTTTTACTATTACGGCTAGTTCTGATTGCTGCTATTATGCCTATGCTGACTGCTATTACTATTATTTCTACAACTGTCACTACCATTATCATTTGGTTGATACGACCAATGCCGCATGACCTTAGTCTTCGTTAGCACCATAATGCCCAAGGTAGAAGGTACTTCCGCTCATGCAGGATTTTTAGTATCCACCGTTTAGGGTAGTATTGAACTGTAGGGGTTGGGGTTCAGGCTCGACCTCGCCGACCGTCAGAGAAGCGAGTCCGCGCCGGATGTCCCACAAGACCTTGACTTGCCGGGGGTTAGTAGGGAATAAAGGGAATACATATACATATATATATATGTACATATATAGACAGATATAAATATAGATGGAGTTTAGGGTTAAGGGTGGGGAACAAGGGAATACAGTATATGGTGATTATGCAGGGATTGTATTCCCGTTTTCCCTGCTCATCACCAATGAGTTGAAGCCCCGTCAGACGGCATTCTCGGCTACCGTAACCCAGAGCTTAGGTTGTCTTTGTTGACTGGGGAGGGAAATTGCCGTAAAAGGTTTAGGGTTTAGGGTTT